TCGCGTTCGCGGCTTTTAAGTAATGCATAAACCTTCGAGGCGCGAGGCCCTTCGGACCGCGAGGCATAGGCGGTGGCCCACGTCGTCCATGCCTTACACCGCCCTTGGTCATAGAAATGATGTAATTTGAATATAAGTTATTTATAAATACGTATGTCAAGTTATATTTTTATTACTACGTAAAATATATTAAGAGTTTACGACCACTGTGCTGGGTGAGACGTTGTTGAAACAAAAAAAGTTATGCATTCCATTACGTACATAAACAGTGTCATAATTCGCCAAGTGCAAATCAGCAAATTCATAAAATTTTTGTTTATTTTGAACAATCCGGATAATCGAAAATCCGGATAATGGAGGTTCTACTGTATTTAGTACAGTACCAATTTGCTTTTTACACTTTTTGACAAGAATAATAAAATCATTATTGGAATTCAACTTTTTGACCTATATTTAGAAATATCTTAATAAATTTTAAGCCTGATAAAATGGGGTTGATATAAACCAGTTTGGGCTATAAGCAAGCATGTGATCAACCCAAAATTCTTTCCCTAAATGCATAAATTTAGCATCTGGAGTCAATTGTAGCCCAAGAATGAGTGAATAGGATGATTTCTTGGGTGTTGTAAAGATAATTTACAGTTTGGTTTAAATGAATCCTTGTAAAATTTTTGTTCACTTTATCGCATGAAAATTAACATTGTGAAAATGTTGTTTTGCTAGGGCAATGGCAAAATTTGCTTTAATGTGAGAATTTGCTTTATTGGTGTTCATTCTAAGACAAGTTGGCAGTAATGCGTTAATGTCTATCAAATGATATAAAACGAGTAAACTAATATGTCCTTGCTTCTCAAAAAATAAAACATTATTTTAAAAAAAAGCAAGTTTTTGGAAAATTCTTTTCTCATTATTTAATAAAAATAAAATTACTTTTACTTTTTGATTCACTTTCTTGTTTTTTTTTTTTTAAATGATAACATATTGCTGCTATCTAATGTTAATAATTTCTATCATAACATAGTGATCTATTATTATCCATTGTTATATACGGTATAGGCACAAATTATCTAATTAATTTATTATTATTTTCTATAAAAAAATAGTAGATGATACCAAAATTGTATGTTATAGAATTATAATTATACAAAGCTTAACTATTGCCTAATAATTAGTAATAATAGCTATCATTAAGTATTGCCTAACCATAAATTATATAGTAATGAGGTACTCATTTTGAATTTCATAAACTGATAATACTAATACTACTAATTAATACATTCTGCTAATTATATGTTATGTGAAGTTATGTTAGAAAATAAATTATTTAACTTTTTATAAAAACACAAAAAAATTTTTATATAGTATATTTTAAAAGTTAATTATGTAGATAATCTAATGCAGTAATTCACTAATAGTAATAATGAAATTTTTTTAAAATGAATTAAAATATGATAATGATATTAAAGACTGATTTTCTTGATTAAAATAATATAAACATAGATCTAGAAATAAATGCAACATGTCATGGAGGAAAAAAAAAAACAAATTCCAAATACAAGTAATGAATTACAAAATTCTGTGCACACAACTACATAATCAAAAGTAATTTAAAGACATCAAATTTTCAGAATGAGTAGAAAATCAAATATATTACTTTAAGTTTTTAATGGAAAACTTACTGCAATTGGTAAAAGACTTAATTTTGATATAATTCTACAAGTTTTTTAAAATCATTTAATATGCTTATATAATTCTTTTTGGATTAAAATGAAAGAAAGCTACTGAGAAATGCTTTCCTGAATGGTGGATCCTAAGTGTTTAGGACTTTTTAAAATTGCAATATTTTATAATTGATCAGTTTTTTTACTTTTTATCACAAATATACCACTCTTTATGATTGTTATATTTTTAAAATTTTTCCACAAAAGTTAAAGTTTTACATAAAAAAGATTATAGTCTGATTTTAAGTTAATTTATCAAAAATCCTTTTATTTATTGTCAGCTAGTTGGAGAAATCCATCAGCAATCAAATAAAACAAAAAAAAAAATAAGTTCAAAAACAGGTTTGAATGTCATTTATGATATCTAGGTCATACACATGCTGTCTGGAAGCTACAACCCCCACCTACTGTCACATAACACAATGCTTATTTTGAGTGGTACAGCACTTTACAGAAAGTTTGTGATTAGTTTATTCGATAAATAAAAATATTAAGAGAGTTTATGAAAACTCCATTTGAGTTAAACAGTTTGATTAACATGTAAACCCTATGATGGATGACCAGGGAAAGGAAATGACTTCAAGTAAATGCAACTTTTAAATTATCCCAGTTTGATTTAACCAGGTTCCACACTATCATTATTCATTTTAAATAAAGAATCCAAATTTCTAGAATTTCTGTATAAATTTTAAACCTACACAATTCTATGATAGAATTTTTGTTTTAAAACTAAATTATTAAATTTACACAAATCTGAAAAATATTTACCTTCCAAATTTTATCTAACTGATCAACAGCATCTTTAAGACCAGGAAATGCTGCAGAACCATAAATCATTTCTATGAATATGCAACCTACACCCCTGTTAAAATAAAAATGATTAATAAGCATAATTCATTTAAATTTATATCAATAGCTTTCATAAATTTAATTACTGTTCTAATTGAAATTAGTTTATTATTGCATATATCTTAGAAATTAAAATAATGTAGTAATAACTTATTTTAATAGATATAAAAATTTATTTTATATATTAATTACTTGGATTAAGGCTACAAAACTGTCTATTTCAATTTTGTAGGCTTTATAAAACATTTTTAATATATAAAATTTTTATTATTATAACATTTATTTATTAATGGATGTAAACTGTAGTAAAAATAGTTAAAGGTTTTTTTAATGTCAATTATTTGTAAAATAAACTTTAATTTATCTGAAAAAATATACAAACCATCTAATTTTTACAACAAGCATATAACAATGTATTAATATTTTTTTACAAATTTGTTTTAATATGCTTTCACTTTTATCATTAATACTTATAGGATCAATGGTGTAGCAAGATTTTGAAGTGAAAGAAAGCAAATGGTTAAAGTAGGTATCAAGTAAAACAAAATTTATGATAGAGGAGAATTCACTTCCTTATCATAAATCTGTCAGCAACTGGAATAACAGTTGCTTGTCTATTCCATACATTAATCCATTTCCTTTGGTTTTTTAAAAATGTTTTAGGATTGTCAATAATCAATAACAATCTAAACTGTAACTTCAGTATATAAAGACACTTAACACACCTTGCACACTTTTCCAGCAACTAAATTTAATCAAAACAGTTTTGATTAAATTTAGTTGCTGAAAAAGTGTGCAAGGTGTGTTTAGAGTCTTATTATACTAGTTTATACTCGATTATTTTGTTAATATAATGCTACTTTATTATTTAGTTACAATTAATGACTTATTTTAAAAATTATTATTATAGATGAAAAGTCTGATTTCATCCATGGAGAAAACAAAATTAACTTGTCTGGTGGTTAATANTTTTAGAAAAAAAATTATGAAAAATTAAATTAGTGTTAATATGTTTATATGAGAACAAACTGACAAGACTGTTGATGAACTTATACAAGCATTTTTACTTTAATATTTTAAAGCTTCTTCATATACACCAAACTTCACAATATTTTTGAATGAAATCCTAATTTAAACAAATTTTCATTTAAAGTTTTTCTCATAAACACATTAATACTATGTCAATGTTTTAAAATTTTTCCTGAGTCAGTACAGATAAAAATTTTCTAATTAGTCTGGAAACAGGGGGACCTAATTCTTGCATTTTGTGAAAACGGGTAAGATTGGCTATAATGTAATAATCTTAATCTTCACTATCATTACTTTTTGCCTGAGCAACGCCAGGCTTATCTGCTAGTAAGTATATAATTCATAAGATAAATTGATGTATTGATGATTTTTTTTATTGGAAAAATTAAATATAGCTTGTTATAATACAAAATTAAAACAAAAACAAAAGAAAATTTTAATATACCACATATCTAATGATGTTGAATAATCTGTAGAACCTAAAAGAACATCTGGTGGGCGATACCAGAGAGTCACCACTTCATGAGAATATGTTCTACTTGGTACAGATTTAGCTCGTGCTAGACCTATAAAAAAAAAAAACATTTCATAAAAAAAGATATTTACTTTTATTTAAAATTGCTCCATATGTAAATTCAATAATATATTAAAGAGGAATAATAAATCCTGTATTAAATTCCAAAAATATTTACATATTTATAAAAATTTTACATAATAAAATCTGACTTACCAAAATCTGCTAGTTTTAATTCTCCAAGTTCACTAATTAGCAAATTCTGTGGTTTTAAATCTCTAAAATATAGATGAATTAAATTTAGAACAATATATAACTATTTATTTGTAATAAATAAATTTATAACAGTTCACACAAATTATTGAAAAATATTGTTGACAAATTAAAATATTAGCTTAATTAAACCAGGCATGGCCTATAATAGTCAAACAACATTGTTTTGATGAGATTGGACCAAAACTCTAAAAGCATTGGATTTTATGGAGATTCTATATAAATCCAATTATATGTAAGACTGTAATATAAGAAATAAAATAATAGAAAAAATATCTGTGCTTAATTTTAGTGAGAACTTTAATATTACAACTTTTTAACCAGTTTTTATATTTAAGGGAATGTTAGATTCTCAAGCATTACTAAGTCTACTATTTGTAAAGGAAATCTGAAAACAATGAATCACTAATCCTCAGATGTATTACTTATAGCCTTTTAATTTTTATTTACTGGACATATTTACATTCTAAGTTATTTACAAGCCCATATGTTTAAGGATCTTGAAAGTATTCAAGCCACTGAGTCAGAGAAGCACAGGTGACTGCACCTGGAATAAAACTATAAGTATGAATAATAAAAAAGCTTAGCCATCATAATAATTGACAATACATCACAAAGATATTATGGAATTATGCTGTGTTGGTCAATTAAAGGCAATGAAAAAGGGAACATGTAATGCATGTCTTAACTAAACATGTCAGGAATAGAGAAATATGTTCAAACAAATCTGTACTTGCTGCAAATATGACAACAGTTACCATTCACCGAAGGTCATGTGAGAGAGACAGTGTGAAACAGAGTCTGGCAAAAATGTCTGTGAAGAATGTGTAAATATCAAATTGTGTGTGTTATTGGAAAAAACCCTCTGAGACCTTGAAGATGCTTCAGGATGGCTATGTTGATTCTGCCATGAAGCATTCTCAAGTTTATGACTGGTAAAAACACTTTCGTGAGAGACAGGAAAGTATCACTGATGATTTGCAAAGTGGTCATCTGTTGACATCAACGTTTGATGAAAAAGTGTTGGTTGTACATGAGATTGAGAGGCCAGACAGTCAGCAGTCAATTGAGCAAATCGCCAAGATAGCAGGAATTTCAATTGGAAGTTGTCATTCCATCCTGCATGATTAATTGAACATACACCGTGTTTGCCAACACACAGTACCACAAATGCTCATGGCAGACCTCATGAGATTTCTACGTCTAACCCGGTTGAAAGATGCCATCAAGAGATGCCACTTCAAGAATGCAGATGAGGTTATACAAAGTGCAACATCTGCGTTGCAGGCACTGTCACAAGACAACTTTCAAGGATGTTTTCTGCATCTATACCAAAATTGGCAAAAGTGTGTGGTTGCCAAAGGACAATACTTTGAAGGATACATTGCTTGATTTGTCAATTGTACACATACTTTTGAGTAATAAACCAATTCCAGAAACTTTTTGATATACAGATATACATACCAAAGAAATATCCTTTTTTGTAAAATAATGCAGTGATTTCAATTCTAATTTAAATTTTAAATTAACTATACAAATGAAATAAAACTATCTTCGGAGATTAAGTAATATATTATAAATCTATATAATAAAATATTCAGCATGTAAACAAGTAAGATAAAAGTTGGGCTAAAAATAAAATTATTAAAACAATAATTGAAGTTCTAATTAGACAATATTAAGTTTGTAAAATTAACATCTGTTCATTAATTTCTAACATTGTGACACAAATAAAATATATTTCCAGAACTTCAGGACATTATTTCTACACTTTTTCTAATAAAAAGTGTTATTGTATTGTTATCATAGACTAGTCTCTTTCAATCAGGGTTGGGAAATTTTTTTTTTTTTTTTTTTTTTTTTTTTTGAAATAAAACAAAAATACACGTTTTATTTAGAAATCTTTATTTTTTTTGTTTTAAAACAGTTTTATATTACATTATAAAACAATATTTTATATTAAAAAAAAAAGTTTATTTACTAAATTTATGTAATATAACATTTTCTGACTTGTGAGCTAAACATGAGTGTGGGAATGGGAAATTTTTCTCACTCTCATGAGTCATGAAAGCACGTGACACACGACTTTTATCACTAAGAGGAGATTTCCTGACAGCACATGCCAGTTAATACTGTTAGCAATACAGCTAATGTATTGTAATATTACTTGGATGGAAAAAGACATTATTATTATTATTATTATTGTTACTTGTTAAGTGAAAAATGAGTGCAGGAAGAAGGCTTGATAATATCTGGAACCAGTACAAACTAATTTCTGGAAATCCAGGAAAACCAGCATGCAGGGTGCAATTCAAAATATGTAGGAAAGAAATGGTTAGATTAGTCGCTAGTATGAAAAAACTTATTGAAGATAACCACCTACAGGATGATATACAGGAATTGCAACAGCTGGGTGAGTATTTTGAACCATTATAAGTTTAAAAATTTTCTATAGCTTGCTATAAAGTTTTACCTGAGTCATAACTCAATTTGTATCTATATAGATATTCTTTAGTTCTTGCCGGAGTTATCTCCATAGCGTTATGAAAAAAAACTGTCCTTTTCCAAAAATGTATGGGCTAATACATATACATTCTTATCTATGATCTATGAAAATTTTATTAATTACTTTTGTAGCAAGAGTTTTTTATAACATTTTATTAATTAGCATATTAATTGCCTTGTTGTTTTTTTATGAGAGTTTTTTTAATCAAAGTAATTAAATCATTCTAAACTTTTACCATTTTTACCATGTAAATGTCCTGGGAAAGCAGTCACCAGCTGTTCTCAATGTCAACTGGTTTGTAAACAATATAGACTGTATGTGTAAATTTTTACACCTGTCAAATGAAAGAATAATAATCTCTTCAGCTATATTTATCAAATACAGTAAAAGCATTTTTTGTTATTTTAAATGTTTCATATAGTTTTTCTATAAAAGCACGTTTTTTTACATCTAATGATGATATTACTTTTATAGTGTTCAAAATGACTTACAACAACTTGGGATCACTGGAGTCATGCAAGCAGCCAAAGACAGATTTGATATGACTATCACAGAGTATCACCTTTTAGCAAATCTTCTGGACCCAAGATACCAGTGTGTAAAGCTCACAGACAGTATGAAAGATGCTGCACTAACTCTGGGCCAAGCTTACTACCCAGACACTATGCCTTCAGTTTTAAAATACTTGGCAAAAACTAGCCCATTTCTGCAACACATGTTTGCAGAGTCTGTGTTAACTAATATCACGCCTCTTACATGGTGGCAGAATTGATGAACCTGTTTTAAAATTAGTTACAGAGCTGCATACAGCAGTGGCTTCTTCAGCGGGAATTGAGAGAATTTTTTCTACCTATGGACTTGTTCATTCAAAACTTAGAAACCGACTTGGACAGGAAAAGGCAGCAAAGCTTGTTAAAGTTTTCAAGCACTGAAACAAACACTACTGGCATTGTACATTTCTGAAAATAAGAAATTCTTCAAGCTGCAGAAGCCACTGCTGTCAATCCTGTTTTGGTGTTTGTACACGCAAATCTTAAAAATGCCATTGCATAAAGAAACATTTAAAAATGCTATATTTTATATTAAATAAAACATTCTGTACATTCTTGAGTCTTACACTGAAGTTTTTCTGTTTTGCTTTTTTCTTTTTCTATTTTACTATATCAAATGTTTTATTTCCAAAAAAAAACCATGTTTTAAATTTGATGCCTATGTTTTAAAACATTTTTTTTAAAATCATGCCAGCACTGCTTTCAAATAAATTAAAATCTAGTAAAACCAACCAACAATCAAGTGACAAGTGTCAATTTGGTTCTTTAATGGCATTTATTAAGCAAACCATACTGATATTTTTTTACTTCAATTAGACAAAAATAATATTAGTACACAGTAGTGATTCTCAACCTTTTCTTTGTCACAGTAAACTTTTAATAATTTAAAAATTTGGCAGCACACTAAATATAAGATAAATTTTAAGAAATTTTACTTGGTTAATTGAGGAATGTACCTATAATATGTTTTGTAAAAATAACATACAATAATAATTTTCAATAAAATTATTGTATGGGTTTCAAAGGTCACCTTTTCTAAATGCCTTGGAACTACCGGCAATTACAGGTAGGCCTCCTACAACGCAGTAGATATGTTCCTTGAAAATACCGCGTTGTGGGAAATCACGTTATAGGAGACACAAACTCAATACAAAAACTGAGATTTGGTTCTAAAAAGAGAAAAACTTGGCGTTTGAATGGTGTTTTTTGAATTTTTCAAACCAGCCATTGGTAGCCACGAATTTAACACTGGTTTCATCAGCTGACCAGTAGCGTAGCATAATGGGGGCGCCCGCCCCATGCGTCACTTTTAGGGGGCAGCAAAATTTCACAATAAATAATAATAATATCTTGTAAAAATTTGAACCATTTCATATCATATTTTTGTCGTACCTACGATTCGGACCGATTGAAATGTGCACGGAATTGTTCATTACTTATTCTGTGACAAAACTGAATTTTAGTCTTTTAAATTGAGATACCTAAATAGGGGAGCAGCGAAATTTTCCTCCGTCCCGGGCGGCTGACATCCACGCTACGCCACACTACTGACGACTGTCCCATTTGTTTTAAATAATCAAATATTTTTAAGGCTTTGTGTTTAAGTGCAGTTTTATTTAAAGGCAACCATTTCTTGTTCATATCTTCTATCCATAATATTAGCGCTTGTTCCATTTTTTACATTATAGGCGCTCTCGGACTAGCAACATTTTTCGCAATAATAGATGATTCGGATGTGACCAAATTTCTAATCTTTTCTCCTGATTGCTTAATTGACCGAATAGTCGACTCATTTAAATTAAAATGCCTACTAATATCAGCTATCTGCTCTTGATTTTTAATTTGATCCAAAATTTCTATCTTTGAAGAGTTATAAATTTCCTTTTTAACAACGGTCCTTTCTTTTCATTCGGCATTGTTATGGCTAACATTTTTTCAATCAGTTTTG